CATAGATTATGTATAATATGTAGCATGTATGTATATGCTACAGCTCCAAGTTTTATGAATTTATTTAATAGTGGAATAGGCCTGTAATTTGGGGAAATTAAAAAATAACCAAGACTAACCACTTACTTCTTGGTTGGTTTGGAAAAAGTGATTCAACATAAAATTAGAGCTGGTACAAATAGATGGCTGTCTTTTTTATGAAAGTAATTAGCATTTAGTTCTTTGAAATTTCCTTGAAAGATTTATTTATAGTATAACATTGCATATAAGTTCATACTCAAATTTGCTAGCATTTAAGGAATTTTTAATTCGTTTCCTCTTTTTGACAAAATTGAGATATCTAGTTTTTATTAGTGAATGGAGTGAAGAGAGATGACTTTGGGTATTTGCCTTCTGAAAATTTATATAGCTGATGCGATGGTAATTTACATGGAGTTTTACAAAATATTCTGCCCTTAATATTTATTTTTATTAGTATGAAAATCTAAATAAAATTTACATCCATAAATCTATTAAAACCGCCCCTTATGTGGATTTTATATTGTTTTGGGAATAAATTTGATTCAGATAACATATATAAATGGATTCCATTTTTATCAAAATTACGTAAATAAAGTTTGCATGTGGTGATTCTCAGTAATATTTTTAGTTATATAAACAAAGTACAAATTGTTTTAAAAGCTATTGAAGATATACATTTTTAACGCCTGTAACAATATTGCACTGTGAAAAAATTTAATGTTAATCATGCGATCTACTCACGTTTATTAATTTTACTTATATTTATTTTACGACAAAACTATTATTTGCAGCAAAGTTGAACTCCGGGATTATAGTGAAGAGAAAGAGATCGACTATTTCGATCACGTGACCTTCCGAAACTGATTTCGCTTCAAGGCCATGATACAGTCGGCTGTGCTTATCGTATAATGATGTCATCGTGCGAAGCTATTAAAACTGAAGAGGCCAATGGGCTGAGAGAGAAAGTTGGCCGGTCCCCCTCTTTTTTACACATGGAGGTAGGAAGTAAGATGGAGTCGCCCTAAACAAGTTTCTCCGTACCCTGCTCTGAAGCACCGGCGATCCCTAAGTGGTGACCAAAACATTGGGTCATTTACCATTGAGTTCTATGGGATTTGACGCGTTCGGGTGTAAATATTTTGTAATTACGTCGCAAATATACATATAAATGTATATATTTTCTTTTTCTACAACACTTCAGAGTCCTAAGTATGTGAAAACAACATATTTTTAAACAACATTTCATTCTGAACAGAATTAAATGCTATACTTTTTTTCATAGCCCACCAGCGGCCGAGCGGTAAAGACGCTGAACACTGGTAGTTCGGTCCGAGGTTCGAATCCCGCGAACGGGCTGGCTGCATGGGCGTTTTCATGTGTAACGTGTTACGAGCCAGTTTCCCTTAGAATATTTTTTAATTAAATACACAGCTATACTTTTCACAGGACAGTTTTCTCAGAATGGTTTAATTTGAATGAAATATTTTCACAAGTTTTCGTTAATTACATTAGAAAAAAAAATTAAGGTAATTCGATTTTATTCGGTTAAGGTACAAAAATTAAGATCAAAGTTTATTGTATTATTAATATTAAAATTATGCATTATTTCTTTTCTATTTATAGAGCTTCTTCCTAAAATACTTTCTTAAATATGACATGATTTTTTGGCTTCTTTTAAATCGAAAAATGTAAGTCAATTTATAATTAATGCTCTATTCGGTTCATTTTAAATTAGAGAATTATTAGGAATTAGCGAAATACTTTAAATAAGTATTTCGCTAATTCCTAATAATTAAATAGGTATTAAATAGTATTTGACTTTCTCTGAACATTTCTGAAAGGGAATAAAATAAGTTTTTTTTTTTTTTTTTTTTTTTTTTTTTTTTTTTTTTTAAGTATTATTTAAAACTTGTAACTGAGTTATTATAAAATGTAAAGGGAATAATTCTTTTAATTATACTTATCAGATTTTTTTTTTTACCCTTCATTTCAACAATACATATTCCAAAACTCTTTATTACGTTCTTAAGTGCGCATCTCATAGCATTTGCTTTACAATACCTTTTAACAGATTGCTTTCCAATACGAACAATTCTTGCTTAAATAGTTTTATAACGTATTTGTCAACAGGATTTCAATTTATGTTTACAATTCAATATTAAGGTTATTATATATTTAGATAACATTTATAATCATTATAAATTAGATACATTTAATCATTAGATTTCTTCACAGTACTTTCACAGTTGTTTATAAGTGAATAAATTCTTCATTTCAAATACATTTATAAATAATTTAATGAATATTTAAGTATTTTGTCAAAGGCAGATACATGCTTTTTGCAAGCACATGCATAAATACCCATACATATTTCCTATTTATCATTTCCGGCATGTGCAAATCTTTAATTTCTGTGCATTCACTATATTTTTCGTGTAAAGTAATTTACACTAATTTAGCATACACCCGAAAGTTTTACATAAAAAATATATATGAATATAATTTGAATGAAAAATTATAAGTATTATTTTTAATACCCACTCAAAGGTCAGTTTTTCTTCAAAATTCCTCCACGATGGCATCTCTCTCTTTAGGCAGATAGCCCTTGCATGCGTTACTCTATTTAATAAAAACTTAATCTGACCTATGTGCCTAATTACAAATATTTTAACATACATAATTTTATATTTACATTTAGCCATCAAGTTTCAAACTTTTCAAATCTTCTAGAAAATAAATTTTGGCAGATCTCTTTTAGCAATTTTCTTAAAATCTATATTTTTGTGTAGTGCAACAGCTTAGAATTTTATAAAACAAATTCATAATCAAAATCGCTGTTGTTAGTTATCGAAAAATAACCAAGATGTGATTTTTGCGTAAATGTCAGTAAACTATACAAATTGCTATTATCCATCACACTATGAATGTTTCTTTCATGCGAGAAGTGTCCCTTTTTCGATTTCTATGGAACTGTCGTGTGTCGAAATACTATCAGAATCTTGTCAAGCGAGCTTCTGAATGTAAACAAAGAACACCCCGTCTGGTGACCCAAGCTTCAAAGCAGTGCTTCACTTCTAGCGCGGAATGGCCCCTCCTCCCTTTCCTACTCCATGTTTTAAGAAACAAGAGAAAACACAAAAATCAAATCGCAGTTTTGGAGAACCCGTTAAAAAAATAGTTCCTAAATTCTTATTTTCCACAGGAAGTGGGAATTTCTGTTTAAAAGTCGTCATTCTTCAAGCTAGAGGTCTGTCAAGCTACTATGAAAAATGAAAAGGCCCGATTTTGTTAATAAAAGCAGAGTCTGGCCTTCTAAGTAATTTAAAACTATTACATAATAGTATTAAAGTAGACTGCCATGACTTCAGACCTTCCAGTTGCTTATCGACTATATAGAGTATCCCCTAAAGATAATAATGAAATTAAAAAAATAAATGGATGAATTATTAAATGTAAGTATTATAAAACCATCATTTAGCTTCATGTTGCCCCTGAAGCTTTAGCTCATAAAAGAGATGAAAATGCAAAAACTAAATTATTATTACACACACGCACCTACATCTACTTTCGAATATAGTATATATATATATATATAATTTTTCTGCCACAGATGTCATTTTTAGATCAAAATGTATTTTGTTATAACAGTAGTACAACAATAAAAAATATTTTGGAATTTAAAAAAATCTCGAATTCTAGCTTAATTTTAAATTTTAAAGCTTATATTACATTCATAAAGATTATTGTAAATTTAATATGATCATGTAATAATGTAATTCAATATGAAAAAATATTCTCGACGAAGGGAATAATAAGTAATTTTTTTTTAAGTCACTCTCTATAATATAAATTACGATAATGAAAATTTATTATCTATATTTTCACCTAGTTGTCTATTAAAGTACCGAATTAGAAAATTATTCTCCGATTTCCTTTCGCTTCTGGAAGGTTGAAAATACATTACGAAACTTAAATTATCATCACTTAAATCATCACAGTTTATTGTTCATAGAATTATTCTTTTAGCATGAAGAACTCTTTTATCTTTTTTTTTCCTTTAAATATGCATGAATTTCTGACTATCTGAAAAAAAAAAATATTTAATAAATTTTTCAGGAAGATATCATATGTTATTATTCATGACATGATATTTCCAGACTTAATTAATTTGAGTAAAGATAACTAAATCATTTTTAAATTATTTTTTTCTTTTACAAATCAGATATCTAAAGAAAATATCAAGATAAATGTTTAACTTTTTTTTTTTTTTTTTTTTTTTTTTCAAACTTTAGACTAGCTAAAATTTTCACATAGCCAACTCGTGGAAATGGTGCATTTGAAATACTTCAAACAGCAAAATGTATTTTAGATGCACTAACTTTCTAAAATGCTAAAGTTACTTGATGAAATCTAATTACATATTACCGACAACAACTACCCTGAGAATTACTTTATTATTTTTTTTTTCAAATGTTTTATGACAAATGCTAGAAACGTAAAAGTTAGTTAACAATTTCCTTAAAGTCACTGGAATAAAACTGTCCTAAAATTTCATTTTTGATTTTCCATATTATCTCTTATCACCATAATCGTAGCATAGTATTGCTGTTATACTTGACCAAAAGCAAGTATTATTTGATTTCACTACTTATATCACACGCCAAAAACACGAATCTACATTTTTTCCCCCTAGTATTCATTGTCTAGTTTGATATAAATGTTTTACAATATGCTGAAAGAGAAATATATAATGAGCTTAAATGTATATAAAAGAATTTTAGACATAAGTTACATCTAGATTTTTTCCCAAACTAGATTAATGAGAAACAAAACACTTTAAACATGTATTACTGGAAACAAATGTCTGGTTTTGTCAGGATGACAACAATATACCATTTCTGCGTAGCCTTACACTATATTATATTTTGCCGTATTATTTAATCAAACGAATAAAAATAATAATAATAATAAGCACTTACTTCGTTTATTTATCATATCAAATAGTAAATTTAAATCCGCATTCTCTAAAGCTGCAATTTCGAGCACAGTTTTTCGCAGCTAATTCGCTTGAATATCACATGCATTCAGATACGTTCTCTGGACATCAAGGAAATAAACCGACAAAATACTTACAACACCTGAATGAAGATTGCTTGTACTAACAGATGCGCTATTGTTTCGTAAGAACTTCTGACATGGTTTCTCCAGTATTATGGCGCAACTATTAGTATCTGGCCCTATAGAAAACAACTTTGATTTTATGAACCGAAGGCACTACTGCCTTTTAACTCCATAGAAACAAAAAAACTATTAGAGTATCAAAAACAATTGGCACGTGCCATAAACAATGAAAAAAATAAAGATTAAAACAGGAATACCGTCAGAATTATCCTAGTCCTTGCGCCCCAAACTGAGCAATATTATAAAATAAACCAAGAAACAAATGTGCGCCTCAAAGGCAAGAAAATAAAACAAGGTTTAAAAATAAATAAACCTAAAAAATCCATGGCAAAAAAAAAAAAAAAAAAAAAAAAAAACCTGCAACAAACAAAACATTCATTATGGTTCGAATTATTTGTACTGATTTGTCTAGTTTCGAAATTATAAGTTTCATAGATAGTGTGCAGAGACATTAGGTATATTTTTGGAAGCAGGAAAGATGAAAAATAGCAACAGCCTTCACCGGGAATCGAACCACGGACCTCTGATGTGTCGGCTCAGTGTGCTGACCACTACACCAAGAAGACACGCTACGAAAACTAGAGAAATACCTTATAAGTGTTTATTATTTTAAGAAGTTATAAAAAGATTGAATAGGAGTGATGTAAGTAATGTTGAGAGTTAATTTAATTAATTAAAATTTTCGCGTTAGCTACAAAAAAAAAAAAAAAAAAAAAAAAAAAAAAAAAAAAATGCAGAAATAAGTGATTCAGTCAGAAATAAGTGTTGAAAAAAAATTGCTAGTTGGTAACAAGCTTTCATGTAAAAATGTTTCTCGCGAAGTCTTATTTCAATTTTTTTTAGAGTCAGGTTAGGCTATTTAAATTTAGCAAAGCTTACGAGGGCTTCTGCCTGAGGGGAGGGATGCTTACGTGGGAGACTTTTTAAAGAAAATTTTCTCGTTAGAAATTGGGGAAAACCACTACGCAGCCAGCTGGTTCGCATGAATACGAGCCTGGGCCGATTGGTTTGGTTTGGTTTATTGAGATTACGGCAAAGCACACTAGGGCTATCTGCGTAAGGGCAGGGATGCCTTCGTGGAGGTCTTTCTAAGGAAAACTGGCTCGTATACACGTTACACATGGGGAAAACCACGAAAACGCCCTTGCAGCCAGCCCGTTCGCCGAGCCTGGGTCGAAATACCAGCTTTCAGCGAACTTAACCGCTAGGCCCCTTGGGCTGGAGGAGATCTTTCTTTACTCTACGTGGTTTTGCATCATCCTATGTTGCTACCGATTTATAATCCACAAAACTTGGTATGGAATCTATTAAACTAGCGTCACATATACGGACGCGAAACGCAGTATGAAACTTTTCATAGAAACGCGTATTGTTTGAACCACAAGCTTTAAATCGCAATATTTTACGAAGAACGTGAAAAAATTCCTTTGGACATGTTTCGCGTAGGTCAGCCACCTAGAAGGAAGTAAGGATCACGAGACCTAACTACATAAATTTCCTGAATCAAGGATTCCTCAAAAGGTTTCGTTCGACGAGATGCTGACAGAAACTATTGTCCAAACTGATAGATTGCTGTTTTAAGCTTTGTGGAGCAGTATACACATTGTAGAGTCCACTTGATTAACTCTTGTGGGAGAACTGTAAGAGTAGTAACTGCACAGAAGAATGGTTAAAAAAGTACCTTTTATTAAACTCTTTAAAAATTTACAATGCGTCAACCCGACGCTGACAAACTACAGCTCTGCTTGGGCGGTAACTGAAATCAAAGAACTAACTAAAGATTCGAAGATATGCACAAGTTGTAGAACTACAAGGCTCAGCTCATCCCTGTTTCTTAAACCCGCGCCTGAACTAGTGGCAGCAAGTAAATGCAGTTATGCCACGAAAACCAGCAATAACTGTGGGAGTAGACGCTTACGCAGCAGAGGTGACGGGGCTACCAAATTTAAATATTCTGGCGTTGACAATTAGGGGAATGAAGCTTACAGAAAAGAATAACAAATTAAATAAAATTGGTTATTTAAAATAAATATAAATGCCTACAGCATAAAATTAACTTTGCCTTCTTTTGGAATCGAACCGTGGATCTTCCACTTGCTAACGTCTACTAATAACCGAGTGGCTAAGATAGCTGAACACTGATAGTCCTCTCCGAGTTGAAATTCTACAAACAGACTAACTGCGTGGGCATTTTTGTCATTTTCTCATGTGTAAATGTATATATGAGTCAGTTTTCTTTAGAATGTCCTCCTCGAAGGCATCTCTTCCCTTAGGTAGTCAGACCTCCGTGGTGCCATGATCGAATAAATCAAACCACCCCACTTGCCAACTGGCGTGCTGATCGATTGCAAGCATACGTACGGGAAATGTTATAATTTTTTACAAGTATACGAAACATGAGCTATTTGTTAATTTTACCTTCCGCGCTACCCGATAACTAACCAATCTTCAGACTGCTGCAATTCGATGTGATATAATATCTTTAAGTTATTTTTCATATTATAATTATATTGCTGTAAAAACTGCTCTTTAAAGCACAATATCTTAAATAACCTTTATTACTCTTTGATAACATTTAAAATATATTTAATTTATGATATCCTGAAGTGGTAATTTTTAAAAACCTTCGTAGCACTATTATAATTAATAAAGGATGTTTTCTGAATAAAAAAAAAAAAAAAAAAACACGTCCCTACTAAAAATGCCCCATAGAAACCAGTAAAACTTTTTATGGGTTTCTATTGACTTTTACTGGTTTCTGTTGGTCTCTCTGTGGGTTTTTTTTACTGGTTTCAAAAAGACCATAGAAACCAGTAAAACTTTTACTGGTACCTATAGAATTTTGATGGTCTCTATTGACTTTACTGGTTTCTATTGATCTCTGTGGGTTTTTCTTACTGTATCAATTGACACCCATACAACACAAATTCAATGGCAGAACTTTGTACTGGTTTTGTATAGGTTTATATTGACTTTTACTGGTTTTTCTTACTGGTATCAATATAATAATAAATCTTCTGTTGGTTATATGGGGTTTGTGCTATTTTTTTATCTGACGTTAATATATTTCTTGTAAACAATAAAATTAACAGAATGAAAATATGATCTCTTTAAGACCACCAGAGTAACCTGGAAACGCAGGTGGTCGTTTTAGAGAGGGTTTTTACTAAATATGCTTATTTATTTGATTTAAATTTTTTTTCGGAAACAGTAACAGTAATCGTATACACCACACACAACGAGGTCTCTCCAAGGCGACCAGCCGCAAATAAAAATTCATCTTTGTAAGTGGTCGCCTTAGAGATGTGATGCTCAATACCAATAGATACTCACGTTCTCAGAGATACGTTTATCTTTTAGAGGTGGTCGTCTTAGGGAGATTGAATCTCTCTAAGGCGACCAGACACACTTGCAGAATTTTCTTTGTGAATGGTCGCTTTACAGAGGGAATATTCAATACCAAAGTATACTTATGTTTTCAGAAATACTGGTTTCTTTCAGAGGCGGTCGTCTTAGGGAGGTGGTTTTTGCTACGAGTTGGTTCTCTGAATACACACACATAAGCACTTACATTTCTGATATTACAAATAAACACCGATATCAACCAACATCTCTTTAACGCGAACAAGTTCATTCACAATCGTAAAACTTTTCTCCCTGTTAACGCTGACGTGAAAAAAAAAAAAATTCCCCCTCCCTCCCCCACTCTCAGAAGTTTCCCAAACAAGTAATATGGCGCCGCTCTAGTTATTGTTGTGTGATGGTGGAGTTATTTTCTTCGTAGTTGTAGTAATGCAGTATATTATTTACTAGGATTTACTGTATTACAAATTTTACTATGTTTTACTGTTTAGAAATTAGTAATAAATAATAAAATACTAGCACTGACTATGAATATACAACTAAAGCCATGCACGTGTAATCGTGTCTAATGTTTGAGAGAACGTTGCTGATAACTGACTAGTTGTGAAATGGAGTTTCTGAGCGTGAAATTGATTTTCCATCTTTACTTTATCCTGAAAAACAATGTGCCTTAAAGACTGAAAAGTGATAATATCAGGCTTGATAATTTGTTTCAGTGTGCAGATGCAGAAATGTAGTTTTTGCATTCTACTGAAACTGTATTTTGGAAAATTTATTTTTTTGATTACAGTTTAGAAATACTTTTTAAAGCTTGTTCATGTACATGCTTTATCATTTGAATATTATGTACTAATAAATTTGAGCATACCTTACTTAAAATGATCTTGCATGATTCAATTTTGAATTTTCGACTAATGTGATGTGGCTGAGCAAAAATAATGTTTTTTTATGTTTTAAAAAAATGTACTAATTATATTTCGCGAGCAAAAAAGGTAAGTTTTATTAATGAAATAAACATTGAAGTATTTAATGTGGTTTATTACTTATTGAATGGGGTAGACAAGACATACAAGCTTAAGGAATCTTTATTCCACTACTAAAATTATGTGAAAATTTAGATGATCATAGTAGCTTACATTGTTTTTCCTTTTTGGTCTATTTTTCTTTACAAGTATGAGACTAGAACCAGAACATAAGAAATTTGGCAGTTGAGGTAGATTTAATTCAACTTTTCTTTCAGCAAATATGTTGCAGCCACAAACAAGTTGGCACATTATTTATGCCTATTCCAAAAAATTAACATTTTTGATAAATGTTTAGTAAGAAACAAGGAGCAGACAGACTGCAATCCAGCTAATACAAAGCGTAAAAAGCAAATGTGTTATGTTAAGGGTGAAATCTTAATTCAGACCGAGTTAATTTTGGTTCTCGATGCATTTTTACTCGTCTTTGATAGTTAATACTGCTGTAAAATTACTATTGGCTGTTTGAGTTTTAGTTTCTTTTACAACATCAAATAATATAAGAGTCATATGACATGAATTAATCTCCAAATGATGCAGTGCAGAAAGATTACTGTTTTTAGAATAGAGAAGGAAAATTAATTTTACGCTGCTAATTTAATCTTTTGCATATTCCTTATTTTTCTTACATATGTATATGTACATTTATCATTCAATG